AAAATTATTAAGATATAGGCACTTTGTTTTATATTAATATTACCGATAATTAGATCTTCCTTGTTGCTTATGTCTCTGTTATCTTAAAAAAAAATTTTCAAATTTGATTTTACCATTTATATTCGGCGCGTATTACGCTCAATTGCGCTACAATAATGGATTTGGCGGAGCAGCTGCCCCAGATAGCAAAATGTTTCAAATTTGCTGTTATATAATCGAAAGTTGTCGCAACAACTAATTTAAACAAACTCGGGACAAGGTGAGACAGCATTATGTCTGTGGCGGCTGGTGTGTTGGAGGAGCGTTGTCCACGATATGTTGTAGAATTTTTGGTGACGGAAAAAAGATGTTGGCCGCAGTGGGTTTCGAACCTGTGGTCCTCAGGTGTATGAGTCTCGAGCGCTACCACTGCGCTGTGCGGGCCACGGCACCTTTTCGTGTATGTTTCTGCTAGGTATTAGTTGTGTGAGCGGGGGACCGCCACAGGCTCCCCCCTTAGTGGACAAGCTCCGTGATTCTTCTCTGTGTGCCCGTTGTCCGGTATGTCTGCCCAGGGAGATTTGTGATGCGCGATGCGAGGAGGGCATGTTGCCGCTGCGACTCTTGTGCGCTAGTTGCTTCTCCGTTGCGTGGGCGAGCCATTTGGACATCGACAGTGAGGTTGTGAGCGTAACTTCGACAGTCGAGGGGTGTCCAGTGATTGGCTGTCTGTACCGGTTGCGATGTGGGCTGGCCCTATGGACGTCGACAGGGAGATGTGTGCGAGACCTCGGCAAGTCGAGTGCGTCCGATGGTTGGCCAAGGAGAGTCACGTGATCGAAAGCAGCGGGCTTTATAAGGCCGTGTCTGTATTTCGATGGGAGATCAGAAGGTTGCGTGTTCATATCACGTCGGGGTCACCAAGTTGTGGCGGCTGGTGTGTTGGAGGAGCGTTGTCCACGATATGTTGTAGAATTTTTGGTGACGGAAAAAAGATGTTGGCCGCAGTGTGTTTCGAACCTGTGGTCCTCAAGTGTATGAGTCTCGAGCGCTACCACTGCGCTGTGCGGGCCACGGCACCTTTTCGTGTATGTTTCTGCTAGGTATTAGTTGTGTGAGCGGGGGACCGCCACATGTCTGTCGCATTCATATATGTAATATTACTATATGGCTAGTGGAGTAGTTTTCCTATAAGCATAAACCAAACAC